TAATATAAATTGGGAATGTGAGTTTTGTTGTAGTTCCACGCCGTCTAATATTTGAGAAATTATTCTGTGACAGACATGTCTCTATGTTATAGGCAAATTAAGTGTAGTCACGTTAGTTGTATCGACGTGCGATATCAAGTAGTATCGATCGAAGGGATGACATGACGCATTATGGTTGATCTTCGAAAAACATTCGACATCCGCACAAACTAATTTTTCCTCTAACTTTATGTGTTATTGCTAAAATAATACGGATGATTGCTTAAAATTTACATGTGGACAGCGGCTGATTTGAACCGCTAATGTTTATTTAGATTTTTTTTTTTTTTAGCAGATTGAGCGATTCAAATGCGATAATAACAGGAGACACAACTGCCTTCAACCTTCCTTCGTGCCTCAGCAAGATCCGCTTTACTCATATTTTGCCAAAGTTGAACATCATAGGCTCAACTACCCCATAGTAAAACCAATCAACATCAAAAGTCAAAATCCATCTATTCCAGTATTCCTCTCTCTCTCTCTCTCATGCACGGGAAATTATTGGGTCAGGTCACCGGACATGTTCGGAGCCCAATGAAAATGCCCCACATCACCTTCTACTCGGTACTTAGCTCGGTACTAAGTAGTACCAAGCACTCAGTACTTTATAGTACCAAAAAGAGGTGACATGACGTATTATGTTTGATCTCTTAAATACATTCGACATCCGCACAAAATAATTTTTCTTATAACTTTATGTGTTATTGCTAAAATAATACAGATGATTGCTTAAAATTTACATGGGGACAGCGGCTAATTTGAGCTGCTAATATTTACTTAGATTTTTTTTTTGGCAGATTGAACGATTCAAACGCGATAATAACAGGAGACATAAATGCCTTCAACCATCGTGCCTCTACAAGATCCGCTTTACTCATATTTTGCCAAAGTTGAACATCATAGGCTCAACTACCCCATAGTAAAACCAATCAACCTCAAAAGTCAAAACCCATATTCAAGTATTCCTCTCTCTCTCTCATGCACACACGCACACAGTTTATTCATAAAGAGGAGTGGGAAGAGCTTCATTAATTGGTGGGCGTACATGCATGCAGGTGGCAATTATTGCAAGAGCAGCCTGTATTTGATATCTTGGAAATTTTCTATTATAATTCCCAAAAAAAAAAAGAAATTTTCTATTATTGGAGCGGTGGGGCGAACTTTTTAAAGCGCCCAATAATTTTTTTTTTTAATGAAAAATGAATTTTCTTTAAAACAATTTAAGAACAAGAAGATTCCGGTTGGCGCATTGTGCTCCATAAATTTTTTTTTTTTTAATGTACAACATTTATAGCGGTAGATGTGAAATTAAGCATCCTAAATTTTACATGAAGATCCAACACAATCAAATAGATAAAAAAAGATCGTAAGAATTATAAGAAACTTAAGTTTTTCCGTGAAAAATTCTGAAATAGGAAAACCACAGGAGTAATCTACTTAAAAAGCTTTCACTAGTATTTCACTTTCTCAGGGAAAAGCATTGAAGCACGGTAAACAATATACTAGTTCGTTGGATTTGGAACTTGGAAGAGCCATTCAACATAAATCTAGGGCTAAAGTTGAGAGTCATAGTTGATGTCAACAACATATATGAATCTTATAAATGTTGGCATGCGTTGGCATTGTCAATGATGGCATATGATAAAGTCAATATGCATCGGAATAGTCATATAATAATGATAAGAAAGAATATAATCAAGCAATATTTTTGGAAGGCTGTAGTTGGTTGATGATTGTATGAGGACTGTAATCGGTGGGCAACAATGGTGGAAGCATTATACTTGGGTGTTGATGGTTCAAAGGCTGTAATAGAGTGGTAGTGGTTCATGAATCATAGTTGGACGATAATAATATGAGAACTGTAATTAAATAATTATATTCAAAAGACCATAGTAAGTATACAATAATGTTGAAAGGATGATAGTCATAGGGGAATGATATGCAATCAGAAGAGGGATTTAATCTTCGTTTCAGATGGTTTTTTTATTGCTTTTTAAAATTAAGTATTAGTACACAAATTTTAAATTTTTAGCTAAAATTTCGTTTTAAAAAACAATAAAAAAGTCATCACAAATGAAGTCTTATGTTGTGATGACTTTCTTACTGTTTCTTAAAACAACTTTGTAGTATATAATTTTTGTACTACAAAGTTGCTTTAAGAAACAATAAAAAAGTCATCCCAAATGAAGTCTTAAGCATCATGTATGATAATTTTTTTATTATTTTTTAAAGCAGTTTTATATTGTATACAAAATTTAAAATGGCTTCTAAAAGAAGCCTTATTTTAATGGTAGAAAGTTCACTTTTTTTTATATAGTTCAATGTAAAATGGACATCAATAATCTTGATCTCTCATAAATTTTTCCCTGAAATTAGGTACGGATTAAAAATCATTAAATTTATAACTATTTAATTACTAATCAAAATATTCATAAAAAAATTATATCAATGATTAATCCAAGTTGTGCGTTGATTTTTGTTCTTTTTTTTTTCTTTTAGAAAACGAAATGGACGTACTGAATAAAATTCAAGATGCATCATTAATCAGGCATGTTATGAATAAACCTACCTAAAATATCTTTTTAAAACCCTCTGAAATCATTAGAGAATATTATATATTATTAAGAGAACCGTACCAGCCTTTCAAGAAGTCATCAAAGATTTTTTTTTTTTTTTTTTTGTGTGCAAATTTGGAGTCTTAGGCCTATTTTCTGTTAGCATTAGGATTATAAAAATCGGATCACGAATTGAGTTCGTGTCAAACCTAAGACCAACCTGACATTAGTTGACTAAGTCTAAACCTGATCCATTTTTGTAAACAGGACAAAAAATTCAACCCGGAGTCGACCCGCTCAAGTTGTCAGGTTGACCCGATATGACCCGTGAGCACGAACTGGGTATAGTTTCTTCATGCGCACGTGCGGGTTTTCGGGTCGTGTGTGTGGGTGAGTGAGCCTGGCAGAGTGTGGTGAGGCTTGGCTGAGCGTGGACAGCTGCGGGTGAGCATTGTAGAGGGCGGCTAGGCCGGATGGCAACGGGTATCAACATTGTTGAGGGAAGGCAAGGCGAAACCAGTGGCAATGAAGTGCTTTAATTTAGTTGATTTTGCTAATAGTGATTGAGCAGTGTCAAAAGAAGATATAAATAATACAAGTGATGAATTTATATTCAACCTTGGGCCTAAAGAAACATCCTGAGAACAATGAAGAAAGCTAGTACTACATTTTGATATTCAGAAGCCGAATATATTGCAACTTCATCAACAAAATGCCAAGCAATTTGGATGAGGACTGAAGAGAATATTACAAGATCTTCAACAACCGATATTTTATGATAATAAATTCTTAATATGTATAACAAAGAATCCAAAGTTTCATGGAAGATCAAAGCCTATAAAACTTCGACATCATTTTTTGCAAGAAGTTGTTGGAAAAGAAACTATTGCAATTGTTCTATAAATGATCAACTTACTAATGGATTCACAAAAGCTCTTGGATTTTCAAAAAATTGTGAGACATCGATCAAATGTTTGATTAGAAATTTTGCATTAAGGGGTTGCGTTTGATATTAATGCAAAATAGTTTTTAATATTTGTTTTTATTTCTAATTTTATCCAACATAAGTCATGTAATACAAGATTGGATTAGCAGACTAGGATGTAAATTAGCAAAGCCTAACTATAGCAAAACCCTTGCGAAGCTATATGTTTGCCTGCAGACAATGAGTTATTTCATGACAGAAATAAAATTAAATTTTAGCCCAAAGACTCCAAAAAATAAATACGATGGTGGGGTTTCAGACTGCTTTCAAACAGTAAAATAATTAAACCAAAAAAACAGTCGTCACGAGAGTACAGTAAAACAATGAACAGATATATCTAACTTTAAAATGTTGAAAATAATAGTGTTCAAGAGAATATTTAAAGACAATGACATGAAGGTCTTCATTGAGAACTCCAAACATTAGCTTTGCAATATTAAATTTAACGATCGAAGATCTATAAATATAATTTTTCGTATAATTATTTATATATCATCAAAAATTTATCTTGCTCTGGCACAAATCTTGAGACAAAATCAAGTTGGAAGTTTCCAAAATTAAATATTGGATCATCCGAACTCCAGTTTCAGCAAACTTATAGTCAAAATAAACGTCTCAAAAATACAAACCCAACGACACCAAATTTGACCCAATCTAAGCTCAAATGAGTCCAAATTGAAGGCCCATAGCATATTTGGAAATTTCAAACCATAAATTGGTTGATCAAACAATTTCCAAACGTAACATATAGTCGAATCAAGAGGATTGACGAGACGAATCTAACAAGCCCAAGATCGCCAAATTCTTATATCATTAATACATACAAATGCCCACTAAATGGTTCACAGTCAAGGGAGTCAACATCGACCGTCCATTCAAATCACTCCCAATTTATCCTTGATCTTCTTCCTATTTACTGACTATGTCATTATCAGAAAAATATAAATAGATTCTTCATTCCTCATAGAATGACACCGAAGCAAGGAAGAAGAAGAAGAGAATGAAGAGAGAAAATTAGAGTTCTCTTGTCACCAGACTCCACGACGACCACCGGACTTCCGCTCGGCCACCAATCGACACCAGACTTCAGCCTGGCAACCCACTGACGTCGGACTTCCGCCTAGACACCGACTGACGTTGGACTTCCACTCGGACATCGACTGACTTCGGACTTCCACTCGGCCACTGGCTGAAGCCGGATTTCCATCTAAACACTGAATGTCATCGGATTTTCATCCGATCTCCACTCATCACTAAATTTTAACCTAACAATTGATTGTTGTAATTTTGTTTTAGGTTTTGCACGTAAAAATTATGTTGTTTCTTTTTCCTTTATTTTGGTACTGAATATCCTTACAATGCTGAGATAAAAAATTCTCACTATATCACCACCTATATTTTAGTACTCAACAATCATATTCGCTCAAAAAAATGGAAAAAATATTATAGACAAATATTGGTATATATAATCCAGTACGACAACCAGATATCCAACGGAAATATCGACCTCCCACTACCGTTGATTGATGCTTAAAGTCCGCATCTCAGAAACTGCCCGTTTATTGAGCATCATACAACAGATAGCCTAAAAATATACAATAGAAACTGACCCAACGAACATATTAAATTTATGAAATAGCTAGTTCAAAATATATGGAGGATACATCATTGTCATCCGACTCATCCCTGCAAATTGCAAAAATCTACGGCAAATTATTAGCCATCTTATTGTCAACCTTATTAATTTTTCTGAACTGCAATCAACACTGTTACCAAGGACGGATCGTGATAGATATAGTCATATAACGGCTAAAATCTCTCAATTAATTAGCATCTTCGAAGAACTTCACTCACCACCCTGTCCAAGTTGACCACTGAGCTGCCATTGGGACCAGTGGCCTTGGCCGCGCTCTCCTTCCATTTCACGGCTTTCTCCCTCATCTTCTTCCCATTTACTCCTCCCATCATCTCCCTTATCAATTCCTCAACTTCATTCCTCCTCACGTCGTTGTTAATCTCCATCCCCACGCCCCAATCAGTGCATGAGTACTTGCAATTCGTCTGTTGCTCTGCAAAGAAAGGCCAACAAATCATCGGCACACCACCGCATAAGCTCTCTACCGTCGAGTTCCAGCCGGAGTGGGTTAAGAAGACACCAACAGCTGGGTGTGTGAGCAGCTCCTCCTGTGCGCACCAGCTCGCCACCAGTCCCCTCTCTTTAACCACCTCCATGAACTCCGGGGGCAGCACGGCGGATTCTCCTTTCACTAGGTCCGGCCGGATAACCCAGAGAAAGTGGTAGCAGCTGTTCGCCAGTCCCCACGCGAACTCGCCCAACTGCTCCTTTGTCATCACAGTTATACTTCCAAAGTTGACGTATACAACAGACGCGAGCTGCTTACCGTCGAGCCAATTGATGCACGCTTTGTCCTCCTTCCATAGGCTGGCAGTGATGGCGGCGAGATCGCTTTCGTTTAGTACAGCGCGGCGAGCGAGGACGGAGAGCGGACCAACGGTGTAGATGGGAGGAAGGATGCTCTGCAGTGACGTGAGTGCCGGGCCTTCGAGGGCTTCGAAGGAGTTGATTATGATAGAGTCAGCCATGGTGACTCGGCTAGTTTCGCGCAAAAGGAAGTTAAGCATGATATCTTTGGCATCTGTTGTGCGGATGAAGCTGGGAAAGTCTTTGAGAGACATGCTATCGGTGAGCCCTGGAATCCAATCCACTCTGGTGTCAAGAAAGCCGTTGCTCATATCTGCCGAACCTATATAAAAACCATATTTTATCATAAATGAGCGAAATCAAACTATCAAATCGTCGAACACATAAGAAGTAAGACTGAAAAAGAGAATTTTTTTTCTTTTTCTAGTTACTTTTCAGGGGAATGAGACCACGATCGACGAGGTGCTGATAATGGATGTAAGCTAGGAAGCCGCAAGCGCTGGCTGTCCAGAGCAGGATTTCTGGGATTCCGAACTCGCGAGCGGCGTCGAGCGTAAAGGTCATGATGCCGTCGGAGACGATGCAGGAAACCGGAGGGGAATAATCATTCAGCTTGGCGATGAGACGGCGGAAGGGGGCGAGGAAGTTCTTCGTTGTGGAGTCGGTGAGGGCTGGGATGTCCTGCGTGGCGTCATCATCGGAAATGGGGAGGCCGTCGGGGATGGCTTCGTAGCGGAAGTCGGCGAGGCCCTTGACGGCCTCTGGGCCCTGTGAACGGACTAGACGGCTGTAGTTGTGTTCGGTTAGGACGAAGGTGATGTGGAAGCCGCGGCCGTGGAGGAGCTTGGCTAGCATAAGCATGGGGTTTAAATGCCCTTGGGCTGGGTAAGGGATGCACACAGCATGGGGCTTCTTATTTGCAAGGGAGCCCATTTTCACTGTCCCTCACTGCTCTTTCCCTCTTTCTCTGCCTCTCTTTAAAGTTTAGCGAGCTTAATTATTGAATAGGTCCTCGCTCTAAGTTCAGCTCTCCCTCTTGAGGGGAGAGAGCAAAACTGCTGGGTTTATAGAAGATGGTGAAGTGATGAGAAGGTCGGATTTGAAAGGCAGTGATTGATTTATATAATCATTCTGTCTAAAAAAGTGATAAATATCTACTTGGCATGAATATGGCCATAAACAGAACTTGGACGACGAATTATAACAGAGAGTATAAAAAAAAATTAAATATTAAAATAATATTTTAAAAGCAGGAGTAGATGGGCCAAATTTTTAAAAGGAACTTCCTTTAAAATTGTACTAGCTAAAGAAATTTAATTAAAATTTAATTTAAAAAAGATCATATAAGCCAGCTCTGAGTCTCTGATAGTATTTTCTAATAAAACGTAATAAAAATGTGCAATTTCATGGAAAACGCAAATAGTGATAGAGTTTTCATGGATAACTCAAATAGAAGTAGAAATGAATAACTATGATCACAAGTTGCCAAAATTTTTGTGCCAATCAAATTTTATTTATTGCCCTTTTTTTTTTTGGCACATTTGAAAGCTTTATATAAATTACTAATTTAATAGATGCAATAATTTTAAATTTATCTTCACATAAAATTTGAAATAGATTATTTATTTTAAATTAAAATTTTGAAATAATATAAATTTACATTTTTTTAATTAAAATTAAATAATTCAAATTTTCATATATTAAATTGAATATAAGTATTAATTTGTTGAAAAATTATTAAATACATAATATTTTTTGATTTATTATAATTAGTATAAAAATTAAGTAATGTTATACTTTTCTCATATCAAATTTGATAGATTAAATAACATGTTAAATTTATTTTTAAAATAAAATAAATTGATATATAAAATTTAATATTGAATTGAACTATATTTAAATAAAGAAATATTTTTTAAAGAAAATAATAGTCATTTTTTTTAATTTGTGGTTATAACTAGAAACAAAATGATATTTGTGGAAGAATTTTCATAGTTCGTGAGCCTTTAAAATATATTATAAGGTTAATTAATGATTTCAAAATCAATTTTCTTAAAAATATGGGGAAACATATGATAGATAATAAAGATATTTAAATTCCTTTTGTTTCTATAATTTTTTTTGGCAAAGATTATATTTGTTCAATTTTAATTTACTTTATATTTCAACATTTGATTTTTTTCAAAATTATTTTATCATTTATCTAATTTAATTTTTTTCTATATTTTTTTCTTTTGATTTTAAAAAGTACAAAAAATTAAATATAAAAAAATGATCTTATTTTTTGTTAGTGGTGAGCATTTTTATAATTATAAAGAAACTAATAGATAATAATTACACATTTATTGAAGAAAATATTTTAAAAATAATTCGCTTAATAATATATCAACACAAAGGTGAGTTATAGGGAACTAAAACATTTAACAAAAGTTCAACACAAAAATAAATCCTTTAAACATTCTCAAGCACCACGTGTACCTAGGCGAGCTTTGAGTTGAGTTTGAATTGGATAGCATTTGAAGTGGTATTGAAACTCGTACTAGCTAGATGTATTGTCAATCCAATGCATTCAGAAACTTCTTCATCTTTTGACATGCCACAAAAGTCAGATTCTCATATGATTCAATGCAAGAATGCATCAACCGCATGATGTCATTTACAATAAAGAATACAGTGATCTATACATTGTTCTTTGTACAATCACCTTAAAAGAACCATCTTTACTGTGTCTAATTTCACAATATGGCCTTAAGAATATTCACAAGAGCAAAATGACCACCATATTCCATGAACCTATATTGTAGAAATCTCCAACCCACATCACCCAAATATGCTCCATCCTTGTAAAGGGGAACTTTCATAACTTCATCGTGATTATTCCACAATTTGCAATCTTCAGCCTCTAACCAGGAATGCAAACAACATCGAAAGATTTCATTCAATTTGTCCTTCTCCTCTAGGCTATAATCAGTTGAATGCGTCAAATATTTCTTTAATCGAATGCTACCCTCCATAATCAACTTCTTCATAGTGCTTTTCTGAGTTTTATCAATGCTGATAGGAAAAAAAAATCATCATACTGATTATTACTACCATAATGACATAACAATATAAACCTACAAAATTGATGTGACCATGCATATCAATTGGACAATACAAATTTATAGCTTATATATTAAATTAAATTGATTGATAAAATCTATTGTAGAATATAATTATATGTGTAGTTTAAATATTTGGACAATACAATTGTGACATACCATAAATCTATAGTGAAAGGATTTATCGACATTCTTTATAACATATAAAAAGTTACGCGGTAAAAGTTTTATTAATACAAAGTTATGCACGTTTTTTTATAACGGAAATACAAAATTAAGCAGTAAAATATCAAAACACGAAATCTTCGAAATCAAAAATAGGATTCGAATTCCTTACCTCGAGACAAACAATTCTTCTAACAGCGACATTAGACAAAAATTGCACCGAGGCCTCCAAAACCAAGTTTTTCCTCCCCTTTCTCTCTCCTCTTTTCTCTCTCTTCAAAACGAATCAAACATTTCTTAAAAAGATATTTACGATCGTCCAGACGATGCTTCTCGTTTGTCCCGGGACGATCTCTTCTGTATATTGATCGTATGGACGATAATCGATTTCATCCTTGGATAATGCTCTCGGGCAAAAATTTTTGTTCAGTTCGTCCCGACGAACTTACGGTTCGTACAAACGAACCTGCACTTTACTCATTTCGTACGTACTAACCATACATATTTTCAAAACTTTCTTCAGTTCGTACAGACGATTCAACAGACGATTCAACAGACGATTCGTACATACTAACTGCACACACAAAAAAAATTCCAACAATAACTTGAAAGTTTAAGGGTTTCACAACAACTTTACAACTAATATATTATTTGATACTATTTTTAACATCATTCTATTATGAATAAGTGAGCTCTAAAGTTGTGTTGTCAATAGGTGAGCTACAAAATTGTGTTGCCAATAGGTCAGCTTGCAATAACCAATCATATTAGATGATCTATAAAGATGTAAGATACAATCAAACAATATTTTGATTTCAAGTTGCATGTGAATGTTTGCTATAGCTAACCTATACTATTTAATGGTGCATATGCAAATGAAGTTGAGTTGTAAAGATTTTAGTTTAAGCCTTCAAAACGCATTGGCCATGTATTGTAAGGATTTGCAGCATCCCTTACAAAGAAAGTTTTAATGATGCAAGCATAAGGCTCAAATATGAAATAAAGGGAAAAAAAGTAATGATGCAAGCATAAGAATGTATGAATGTATAGCACGAGCCTATGATAATCCCTTCAAGCAATAGATGCAAATGATATATTTCGGTTTTGACGCAAAACCGTCGGATAGCCGCCATAAATTGACGCAAAATTGATCAAAACCTCCGGATATCCGCCATAAATTGATAAAAATAGGTCAAGCCAATCCTTCCTCCTCATTTGTTTGCGTAAACATTTTTCCTCGAGACGTCGCTCCACTCGCGCTCGTGCTCGCCTCCGATTGCGTCCGCATGACTTCGGCCGCTAACAACGTAACTCCGGCCGCCGATCACGCCCACACTCTGCCCGCCAAAATTTCTTGCTCTGTCCATCGACACCCTCGATCACTCCGACTATGCCAAACATCCGAAGGTTGTTGCATCTACTTTTTTTGTTTCTTTAGTCATGTATGGTTATTTAGAAAGTATTTTCAGTTTTCATTTTGATTACATCGAGGTTATGGAGCGTAGGTTGCGGCGTGATACTAATGTTTCTCAAAATCAATTTGGATTCATGTCAAGTAGGTCTACTATGGAAGTCATATATTTATTGAGAGGTTTGATGGAGAAATATAGAGAGAATAAGGAGGATCTACATATGATATTTATTAATTTAGTGAAAGCCTATGATAAAGTTTCAAGAGAAGTGATATGTAGAGTTTTAGAAAAGAAAGGGAATAATAATGCTTATTTAAAAGTCATTAAGCTGGAATTTTAATATAGGCGTTGCCGCGCTGGTAAATACCGGCGGTCTACTGGCAGCTTGGCAGCATGCAAAATAGGCATTTGAGATGGCCAGTACGCCACCGGTATTTAATTGGCAGTCGCCGGCGCTATGACAACTTGAATTTATGGGCTGTGATGGCCGTCTGAAAGCCGCCGGAAGAGTTAGCAGTCGGAAACTAACCGCCGCAATTTGTTTCGTATGCGGTTTATACTGGAGGTTAACAAACTGCCTGTAGTTTTCAAAACCGTCTAAAATTTTTTACTAACCGCCCGAAAAAATCGTCAGTAATTGACAATTTTCCTGTAGTGACTGCAACAATCTTGACATTGAGCATCTAATTTTATATCATCATTTGTATCTTAACTTTGATAAGTTTGCGGCATGAGAATATGCCATTAAATTAAAAAAAAAAAAAAAAAAAAAACTTTGATAAGTTCATTTTGGATGTTTATAATAATCGGATGCGGGAGTTATTAGCTGATGGCAAGCCAAGAAGGTTCTTTACTATCAAGGACCAGCAACACGTACATTTTGTATGAGTTCAAGTTTCATTTTAAGTGTTGTCCAACTCAAATCCAGCTACAAGCATGCCTATATATGCTGCTTAGGAGATAGAAAATATATTTAGTAGTATTCATATCTGCTTCTATTGTGTGTTATTCATTATGCTTGTTAAAATAAATGTTATGTTTGCAGTTTTTAATATCCTAACAATATTTCTATTTTAATAGAATTGATTGAACTTAACTTTGTATTATGTTTTTATTTATATGTTTCATGATTTTTTGTTTATTTAAAAATTACAATAAAGTATTGTACTAATTAATTAAAATAAATGCACATATAAAAAGTATTCTCATTTAGTGTTGTACATAAGTGACTTTAGCCGGTTCGAGCTCGACTCATTTATGGGCTTGTGAGCCTAGCCGGCTCGAGCTCGTTTCAGTGTTGCAAGTCCAGCTCAAGCTCGACGCGACTTCAAGCTTGATATTTGACTTGCAAGTCTAGCTAGAACATCCCCGAACTCGAGCTCGACTCGACTCGTTTACACACCCCTACTCTCATTATAATAAAGATAATACATAATATTAAATGTGCATACTACAAAGTTCATACATACTACAACATTCATTAATCTTCTTGTATTGCAATTACACTCTCCTTTTCATGTGACAGATAGCATTTGTTGCAAGGGTATATCTTGAGGGTTCGCACATACTCCTTTGAAGCTGTAGTTCTTCTTCTTGCACACGCTCCCCTCCCTCTTGCGCAATAACTATGTTTGGTTGTATTTGTTCAATAAGTATGTCATGTTGGGCTGGAGATGCGAGAAAGCTAAAACAAGGTTGTCCAACTAGGGATATTCAAGTCGGATAGAGCTTGTGGGTCATATGAAGATGTCGTAGCGACAACAATGGTATCCCATAGCTTCTCCACTGTCATGCTCCTTCCCTTGCTTGAGCTGAACTCCCTTTACCCCATGTCATATCATTTTTTTTTCTTAATATATTTGGCTTTTGTTGGGTTAATGTTGTTGGCATCTGTGCAATTTATTTATTTTTTGGGGGCAATAAGTTCAAGTTAATTGTTATATGAATGTTCGTAATTAAATTAAAGAATTATTTAGCACGAGTTAATGATTACATTTTCCTAAACAACTAAGAAATATTATACATAAGGAACTTTTTTCCCTAATAATTATTAAGAAAATTTGATATTCATAAAAAAATTAAATTTATTAAACTTATTTTTCATATGGAACTCTTATCCATATTTAATCAAAATAAAATTTAAAATTATTAAACTTATTTTATAATGAACACAATGCATAATTAGTTAATTAATTTTATACTATACAAATTTTTTAAAATAAATACAACAACCTCGTAAGTAACTTTTAATCAAAATAACTCTTGTGCATATTTAATCAAAGTTTATCTTTTAAATACTTAATTAAATTTTAATTAACTTTAAAAATTTTAGTAACTTTTTAATAACATTTTAAATATTTAATAAAATTAATGTAAGATATTAAAAAAATTTAACATGATGAATATTATAAATATTATATTTATTTTAAATTATGCACCTCAGACGGTCTATATGTGGAAATAAGGGGAAATTAATGTATTTCTTGATTTCTGGCGGCATATATCGAACTTATTATGAGTCCAAGCATTGGGAAAATTATTAGATCCGGACACCGGACGTAGATATAGGTCCGGATTTTCAGGCTCTATACAATGATATAAGATCATTTTCTTGGCTCATCGTCTATTGATGTTTGTGCTGAGTATAGCTCAATTTTTTGTGGCCGCTCTTGTAGCTCATTTTAGATTTTTTTTTTTTTTTTAATTTTGTCTAACTTGTTTATTTTTCATTACACATATAACTTATTATTTCTTTAATGAAATGGATTCTGTCCTAACTTTTCCCAAAAAAAAAAAATTTTTTTTTGCTAACTTAGAGTCTTTGATGTACCCACCGTTGCTTGGGTAAAGAGCTGGCTGGGCAAAGCCTAGGTCCCTAGTTTGAATCCCTTGGCAAGCAGTGAAAGTCTTAAGTGTTGACCCGTATAAATTGGTGTGGGTTGCATGCTAGGTCGATCGGGGATTTCACTGGCCTAAGGACATTGTTTTCTCGTCACAAAAAAAAAAAAAAATCTTTGATGTGCCAATTTAACAAATCAAACTGCTTTTTTTTGGGACAGTTAGGGGGATTCGAATCTGAATGAGATTGGAGGAATTTCTTCCATCAACCCCTCGGCCTTAGACCCGATCAAAGATCTTCCCTAAGAAGATTTTGTATATATAAATAAACAGCTAATGCTTATAGCCTTTAGTATGAGTGGATAAGGTGTTTGTTTTCTTGTGTTGGTGTAGCCTTGTATGAAACTGTAGCTGTATATATAAATAAACAGCTAATGCTTATAAGGGGAGAAAAATAATTAATTCCAGCTAATGCCTAAACCCTAAACAGCTATTGCTTATAAGGGGAGAAAAATAATTAATTCCAGCTTTGTTCTGTTTTTTGTGTTCTGTATCCTCAAATCATTTCAGACGGCGGCCTGTCCATTGGTCCCAGATTCCTTTTCTTGGAATTGGAATAATGTGGCCCTTCTTCTCCGCAAGTTTTTTCTTTCCCATTCGGTTCCAGCCGTGAGTTTCCCTAAGGAGTTCCGGTGTCCTAAGCAATCATGGCCGGGAGGTCACTAAACCATGAGCATATTTTTATCTAACTTTAAAATGTTCAGAATAATAGCGCTCAAGAGAAAATTTAAAGACTGTGACATGAAGACATTCATTGATAACTCTAAACATTGAGAGATTATTGTGTGCGGACATCAGACGGAGAGAACAGTCTGATTTTTTATGATTATGATACAGTCAAAATATAGTTACTGTAGTAGCTACGCTATGACTACAGTTTTTCTGTAGAAAGAGAGAAAATTAGACGGTTCTCTCCGTCTGATGACCGCACACAATAAAAAATTTAGATTAGTTTTGAATTATAAAATTTAGCAAAGATTCATAAATATGCCTTTTCAAGATTTAAAATATAATTAAATTTGTTCAAAATAATAATAATAATAATAAAAGGGGAAATATCATAATCAAATATTGGAGTAATGCAATGTGGCAATTAAATATACAATGAAAATATCGAACTCCCACTACCGAGAGATTATTACATGCGGAGATTGAACGTAGAGAACTAGTTGGATTTATCTTTTAATAAAAACGCAGTGGTGAACAGTTAAAGCACAACAAACTATGCTTTTACTGTTCACAGAGATAAACCGGATGATTCTTCGCAAGTAATAAATCATCCTCACCACTCGCGATTGACACTTGTTTAAGGGTTTGTTTGGGATAGTTTTCTTAATAATTTCTAAAATAATGTTTTTGTTAAAAATTTTCTTGAATTGAAATTTTTTGTATTAAAAATTTATTTTAGAAAACAATGAAAAACAGTCTCAAACCAAGCCTAAATCCGCATCTCAGAAACTTCCCGTTCATTGAGTATCATACAACAGCTAGCCATATGTATATATATATAGCTAAAACTGACAGATAAACCTCTCAAAATTATGAAATAACTAGCACCAAGAGGATATATTATAGTCATCCCTGCAAGTTGCGAAGTGTACAAAAATTTTGCCATCTTAATGCAAACCATACGAATTTCTTCTAATTAATATAAGGTGTAAAAACATCTCTTTCAATTAACTTCTTCGAAGAACTTCATTCACCACCCTGTCCAAGTTGGCCGCTGAGCTGCCATTGGGTCCAGTGGCCTTGGCTGCGCTCTCCTTCCATTTCACCGCCTTCTCCCTCATCTTCTTCCCATTTTCTCCTCCCATCATCTCCCTTATCAATTCCTCCACTTCATTCCTCCTCACATTTTTCTCAATCTCCATCCCAACCCCCCAATCGGTGCATGAGTACTTGCAGTTCGTCGGCTGCTCTCCAAAGAACGGCCAACAAATCATCGGCACACCGCCGCATAAGCTCTCTAACGTCGAGTTCCAGCCGGAGTGGGTCAAGAAGACGCCTACAGCCGGGTGTGTAAGCAGCTCCTCCTGTGCGCACCAGCTCGTCAAAAATCCCCTCTCTTTAATCTCCTCCATGAAGTCCGGCGGCAGCACGGCGGACTCTCCTTTCACGAGGTCGGGCCGGATAACCCAGAGAAAGTTGTAGCGGCTGTTCGCCAGCCCCCACGCGAACTCGACCAACTGCTCCTTTGTCATCACAGTAATGCTTCCAAAGTTGACGTATACAACTGACGCAGGCTTCTTACCGTCGAGCCAATTGAGGCACGTTCTGTCCTCCTTCCATAGGCTGGCAGTGATGGCGGCGAGAGGGCTTTCGTTAGGAACAGCGCCGCGCGCGAGGACGGAGAGCGGGCCGACGGTATAGATGGGAGGAAGGATTTTCTGCAGCGACGTGAGGGCGGGGGCTTCGAGTTCTTCGAAGTTGTTAATAACGATGGCGTCGGCCATGTTGACTCGGCTAGTTTCGTGCAAAAAGAAGTTGAGCATGATGTCTTTGGCATCTGTTGTGCGGATGAAGCTGGGAAAGTCTTTGAGAGACATGCTATCGGTGAGCCCGGCAATCCAATCCACTCTGGTGTCAAGAAAGCCGTTGCTCATATCGGCCTCACCTATACAAAAATCATTTTTTTATCACAAACGAGAAATATAAGATCACCAAACAAAAAAAAAAAGCGTAAAACTGAGAACTTTTTTGTTACTTTTCAGAGGAATGAGACCACGATCGATAAGTTGCTGATAGTGGATGTATGCGAGAAAGCCGCAGGCGCTGGCTGTCCAGAAGAGGATTTCTGAGATGCCGAACTCTCGAGCGGCGTCTAGCGTGAAGGTCATCACTCCGTCGGAGACGATACAGGATACCGGAGGGGAATAATCATTGAGCCTGGCGATGAGACGGCGGAATGGGGCGAGGAAGTTCTTCGTTGTGGAGTCGCTGAGGGAAGGGACGTCCTGCGTCGCGTCAGCATCGGAAGCAGGGAGGCCGTCGGGGATGGTCTCGAAGCAGAAGTCGGCAAGGCCCTTGACGGCCTCTGGGCCTTGTGAACGAACTAGGCGGTTGTAGTTATATTCAGTTAGGACGAAGGTGATGTGGAAGCCGCGGCCATGGAGGAGCTTGGCTAGCATCAGCATGGGGCTTATGTGCCCTTGGGAGGGGTAAGGGATGCACACTGCATGGGGCTTCTTTGCTGCAAGGGAACCCATCTACTCTTCTTATCTTCCTCGCTCACAGCTCTTCCCCTCTCTCTCTCTCTCCCACTCCCTCTTTTATCCGTCTGAACGAGCTTAATTTTAGATCAGCGTCTAGCTGTTCTGCTCTTCCTAATTGCACTAGTGGTAGAAAACGCTTAGCTGTTGGCCTGATGAGCTTGGTGAAGTGGATTGGAAGAGTATTTATTTATTTATTTATTTATTTATTTATTTTGACATTTTGGTTAATTAATATAAATTTATATATGCATCACATATCGAAGATTCGAATTCTGAATCTTTTGATTGGTAGCTAAAACTCTCAATCAACAGATTAAGATGATCAGTTCCTTATTGGAAGAGAATATCAGGCTTGAAATCTTGACTACTTAATTGTTTTTCTGGCTTTCATCTATGTGATGGTATTTCAGAGGAAAGACGGAGATGAGCTTAACCTGTTTGGAGCGAGTGCGTGGCCATAAATTGAACATGGATTTTGTTGCATTCATCATTTAATGAAAGGCCGGTTAGCTTTAGACCAATATAATATATCAACTCTTTTATAAACTTACAAATTAAAATTGTAATATAATAATTAAAACTCAAGCAAATATTAGTGTGAATGTGATGTTTTGTAAAGTTTAGTATGTCCAACTTCTAAATATATAAATTTATAGGGATATTTTAATTTATACATTTTAACATATTTTATGATGGTAGAGCCTGAATTTTTCATCTTAACATTATATAGAATTTACATATATATACACAAAATTGGACTTCATCTTTACAAAAATGACTCTTATTATTTTCCAAGTAGATTTCATTACTCTCAAAAGAGCTTAAGGCTTCATTTGAGATAGTTTTTTTTAATGCTTCTTAAAATAATTTTTTAGTATAAATATTTTTATTTTTGTACTAAAATGTTTCTTTTAGAAGCATTAAAAAAGTAGTTCTGAATGAAACATAAATGGATGAGAAATGATGAATAGAATCAATAAAGCTACATTGATTTTTTTTTTTAACATTTAAGTCAATTAAAAGTTAAATTCAAAGATAATCAAATCAAAGCTCACAATCAAAAAGAGGAAAATGAGCTGCGTGCTTCATTGATTTTCATTTGCTTGCATTACATGCTTAGCTAATACGACTAAATACTGAAAATAACAAAACTAAGATCAAATCATGATAAGTAGGCTAAGCCCACTACGTCGCCGCCCTGCTTCTGCGCCCACTTCATCTGCGTTTTTCAGAAGTTGTCTCCATGTTCTCCTACCAAGTCAGATATCTGTAAGTAACGAACCGGGTTAATTACTATGGTAATTCACTCATGTACATCCTTTCTATATAACACAGTGTAATACAACTTAGCGGATATGAATGAAAGCCATGAGTTACTGTTCATCGTCTTCTTCCCTCAGTCTTTTCTGCTCTGTCTTCCGTTTGTTGAGCTTCATCATGGCATCAGAGCTTGATGCCTAACGACTCTTCTTCCGGTTACTGGTGAAGATGGGAGATTCATCAGCCTCAGCTCCAAACACTCCACCACTGGCTGTTGTGACATCCGACGCAACAGCTACTTCCATTGATGTAGTTATTCCTCCTACTCTCAAGTTTCTCCTTGCTAACATCAAGAACATGATCAACGTTCAATTGCTACCAGACAATTATCCTACATGGTGGTCTGCCATCTACAAACTGTTTGCGGCCAACCACTTCTCTGGATACTTGGACGGAAACATTCTTTGCCCTCCCAAACATCTCTTAACCGCCACTGGGCAGTTAACGCTAAATCCTCAGTTTTCTTCTTGGTCCTTGATTGATCAAAACTTGTCTGTCACATTATTCTCTACAATTTCGCCGTCCATTCTCCCTTACATCCTGACCTTGGAAACTTCTTCCTCTATCTGGAAAACTTTAGAGAATCGCTTCTTCTCTACCAATCGGTCAAGAGTTATCCAGCTAAAAAATGAGCTGCATTCGCTATCTATGCAGAACAAATCCATGACAGACTATTTGGCTTCCATTAAAAGCATAGTGGACAATATTCGAGCTGCTGGAGGTACTATCGACAGTAAAGACATCCTGCATTACATCTTAAATGGATTACCCCTTTCTTACCAGTCCTTCAAAACAACAATTCGAAGCTCCCTTCAACCCATACACTTGGACGATCTGTACTCACTTCTTTGCAGTGAGGAAGTTCATCAAACTACAGATGCAGCTCATGAATTATCCTTCTCCAATACTTCTCAGCTACCTGGCGGATCAACTGCTCTGTTTTCTACCCATGGAAGATCCCGTGGTCGATTCTCCTCCAACCGTGGATGCGGCAGGTCTTACTCCAACAATGCCAACATAGCTGCTCCTCGAACACCAAGATTTGAAGGAGAGTGCCAAATCTGTGGGAAGCGCGGTCACTCTGCCATGAACTGCTGGCACAGAGGAAACTTCAATTACACTGCTCTGACCTTTGCCTCTTCTGTTGCATTAATAGAAGATCCTGAACCATCTCCCTGGTACTTGGACAGTGGGGCTTCAGCTCATCTAACACCAGATGCTCTTCCTCTTCAGCAACCACAGACATATTTTGGTAGAGATCAGGTATTCGTGGACAATGGACATTCACTTCCCATCCAAAATGTAGGTAACAGTCTGCTACCGACACCTACTCGTAAGCTCCATCTCAAACATCTCTTCCATGTTCCTAAACTTACTCACAGACTTATCTCAATCTCCAAATTAACTAACTACAACAACTGTTCCATTACGTTTGATAAATCTGGTTTTTGTGTCAAGGATTTGACGACCAAACAACCGCTTCTTCTCGGACAATGCCATAATGGGCTCTACCCCATTCCGTTCAAGCCATCCATCGTTGCGGCATCCACAAATGTTGCTCCATCTCATTCAACTTCACCTCGTTCTACTTTATCTTGGCACCGAGGGTTGGGTCATCCTAATCAAAAGACCATGGCTGCTATTTCTAAATCGTTTCATTCCTTATGTTTTTCTTCTTTAGATTCACTATGTAATGCCTGTGCTCTATATAAGAGTCATCGGCTACCTTTTTCATCTTCCGAACATGTATCTTCTTTTCCGTTAGAATTAATCCATATGGATGTTTGGGGTCCATCCCCTGTGGTATCAAATGATGGTTTTCGTTATTTTCTGGTTATCATAGATGATTACACCAAATATACTTGGGTTCATCTATTAAAACAAAAACACAAAGTACCTTATTCTCTGGTTAACTTCATCAAACAAATTGAAAAACATTTAAATTCATCTGTTCGAACTATCCAAAGTGACAGAGGAACTGAATTCACTAACTCTTACCTCAAAGCCTTCACTCTATCTCACGGCATAACTCACCAGTTCTCTTGTCCCTACACGCCCCAACAGAATGGCATCTCAGAACGAAAAAATCATCATATCTTAGAAACTGCCAGAACTCTTCTCCTCGACGCCAATCTTCCATCCTATCTCTAGCATGGTCTGCTGCTGTTCTAACTGCAGTATTTCTAATAAACTATCTTCCCTCACATTATACTACATTCAAATCTCATTATCAATTACTTTATAATGTGCCTCCTGATTACTCTATCCTTCTTCCCTTTGGCTGCCGTTTCTATCCCTGGACATGGCTTTCCGCTCTGCATAAACTTGCTCCTCGATCTGTCGCATGTATCTTTATTGGTTATACCACAAACTACAAAGGTTATAGGTGTTATAATCCTTTAACTAACAAAACCATAATTTCTCGACATGTTCGGTTTGTTGAATCCCTCTTTCCATCCATCTTCTCTAACTCTACCACCCCCCAACAATCAAACACCTCTACTCCAAGTTCTTATATTCCTCCTTCTCCACCAACCACAGTCACTCTCTCCCCCAAAACTACAATTAATTATATAACTCCTGCTCCATCTGTTTCTACTTCTCCCAATCCTACCTCTCCTATAAACTCTTCTACTGCAACTTCTAGCACCTCTACCTCCCCTGTACCTCCAATGCCCAAACCCAACCACCCAATGATCACCAGATCTCAAACTGGAACTCTTAAACCGAGAGTTCTCCTAGATCTTGCGCATACCATCCATCCTACGCCTACCTATTTCTCTACCACCAATAAAGACTCAAATTGGCGGCAAGCAATGTCAATTGAATTCAGAGCTCTCCAAGCTCAAGGCACTTGGTCTCTTGTGCCGCGTCCAGCTCATCAACCCATCATTGGGTGCAAATCAATTTACAAAATCAAGCCTTTATCCAATGGCAACATTGCTCGCTATAAAGCCCGTCTGGTTGCGCAGGGTTTCAAACAATCCTATGGTATTGATTACTTTGAAACCTTCAGTCCAGTTGTCAAGCATACAACAATTCGTTTACTGCTGCTGGTTGCTCTTCATCATGGCTGGGAAATACATCAACTTGATGTTATGAATGCATTTCTTCATGGAGCTTTAACGGAGACCATTTATATGGATCAGCCTCAAGGATTTGCAGATCCACATTTTTCGGATCACATGTGCTTGCTGCACAAAGCCATCTATGGCTTAAAACAGGCACCGCGCCTTTGGTTTGCCACTTTCACGAATTATCTCAAAACTCAAAATTTCATAGTCAGTGCATCAGACCCTTCCTGCTTTCATCTGCATAAGGATAATCTCCACATATACATATTAGTGTATGTTGATGACATTTTGATCACAGGCAGTGATCAGCAATACATCTCATCCTTGATAATTAAGCTTGCAGAGCGATTTCTAACAAGAAATCTTGGCCCATTGTCTAAATTTCTTGGCACAGAATTTATACAAACTATGGATGGCTACCATCTCTCACATCAATCATACATAACCGACCTGCTGCATACTGCCTCCATGTCAAACTGCAAACCACTCCTCACGCCATTACCGTCCAAGTTTCCCACAGACACCAATCTTACTCTGCCGTTCTCTCAATCACACTTTTTTCGTAAATTAGTTGGCTCACTACAGTTCATTACCTCCACCCGTCCTGATATAGCGTTTGCCGTAAATAAACTCTGTCAGCATATGCATAATCCTCAACTACTTCATTTTCAGTTACTTAAACGTGTTTTACGATACCTAAAAGGCACCATCACTCATACTATGTTTCTTCCGAAAACTGAGCTAATTCTCTCTGCCTA